ACATTCACTTCTGAGAGGAAGAAATTAAAGAAGCGAATAAATATATGAAAAAATGTTCCACATCATTGGTCATTCTATAAATGTGAATTAAAACAACACTGAGATTCCATGTCACTCTAAAAAGAAAGGCTAACTTCAAAAAGTCAGCCAATAACAAATGCTGAACGAGTTATAGAGAAAAACAAAACCTTCCTCTCTGTTGTGGGAGTGTAGAATGGTACAACAACTATGAAAATTAGTGTGAAGACGCCGCTAAAAGCTAGGATTGAAGATCTCAGTCAACCTAGCTATTTCTCTCTGGGTGTTTTTCCAGAAACAGGTTGATGGCAGCGCAATTTCTCATGGCCAAATCCTGGGAACAACCAGGAGTCCATAAAGTGAAGAATGGATATGAAGATGTGGTATTTTTACACAATGGAGTACTATTCAGCTATAAAACAGGATTTTGTTTCTAAATAGATGCAACCAGAGAACATACTTTTAAGTGAAGTAAATCAGATTCATGTGTGCAAACATTGTATTGTCTCCTTAGGGTGAGAACGTAAAGGAGAAAATGGAATCTGAAGGGTACAGTAGATATTGGGAAAAGGGAATGAGCTTACTCAAAAAGAGAGAGTTACTGAGTTGAGGAGAAAGACAGGAGAGAGAGTGGGGGAAAGAGATTTATCTCTGTATATAAGCAGGATGGTTTGGACAACTGTACTGTGAATTTCTCTGGTCTACGGCAAGAAGCAGACAATATTTAATTTCTTTTTTTCAATTGTTTGTACTTTTTATCTTCTTAATTTCTTATATACTTCTTTCTCTTTCCAATTTTATATGCATATATTTGCTAATAAGAACAACTGGTTGGAAGACAACACTATATTACAACAAATACTGTGTAATTTGTATTATTTTGTTAAGTTAAATTTTGTATCACTTGTATTTTTTTTTCTGTTTTAACATACTTTTAAGTGAAAAGTATGTTAATTCTTTAAGAAATTAAAATGAATAATCGTACTCTTAAAACACGTATACAATCCTACTAACAATCTACTGTTCTACAAGATGAGGTTAATAAAATCAGTGATTCTTACAAATTAAATTACATTACTGTAGTTGATTGACTACCAAACATTTCTTTTCCTAGACAAGTGATTTTGATAATTTTTTTGCTAGATGTGAAACATATATATTAAAGGTTTACTTTTTCTTCCTCACTCTATGTGAACAAAATATAATTGTTGTAAAGATATAGACTTAGAACATTATAGATTTATATAATAAGTGTTCCACTTATTATTTTTAAAACACTGGGCAAATTACATCTGAGCCTCACCTTCCTCATTGCGTAGACTTCATCTGAAGGCCAATTGTGATAATATGTATAAAGAACTAAGAACATTGGTGGCCATACAGAAGCAATTCAAGCAAGTGCAGCAAATTAAGAAAAAATTGAAATGATTCTAATATTATATAAGCTGGGACTATAACCCTTTAGACATATAGCTTAGTATCATTCCTGAAAAATACAGTCTTATTTTTATAATCTTGCAATGCGACATTCACTAAACTTCAAATATAAATCTATATCATTCAAACTACTGCTTATTAAATATTTTTCTAAGTTGTCCTTTTTTTTTTTTTCATTGTGATCTAACATTCAGAGGTACCATTTAAGAGTTCTGGTCATATTTTACATATGTAAACAAAAAAATAAAGCTAAAGGGGTTAATTTCAGATTATTTCAATTTAGAATTACCCTGTGCCTGGCTAGGAATTGTTACATTAGTAATTATTACTTTAAAGTTAAATAATGAGAAATACCTCCAGACTATTTTTCAAATAGGAAGTTATAATAATAAAAAACTTTCATATTAATTTACAAAACAAGTCGATTTATGGAACACCAATTATGTTTTAAATATTCCAGGTTACTTACTGATTCAAAGTGAAGGACTGAAAAGAAACTTAAGATTCCCACAACCTTCTAAAGCTCATTCAACATAGGCACTTATGCTTTTTAATAAAATATATTAGTTTCAGGCATCCATCATAAAATTGTTAAGAGACATAACTATAACTGATGATAGGAAAGAAGATGAATGCCTCCTGCTGAACAAAGCTGTGTTATCAGGTTAAGTTTACTAGAAAGAATAAACTAAATTCCTTTTAAGAAGCTGAAACAGAACAAGGAGTAATCTAAGTACATCAGAGAAAACTACCGCACTAATATAAAATAAATTGTAGTTGGATTAATAGCTTGTAAGTGTAAGTGGATCATAAGAAAAATTTTCCCCTGCCTATGTAAAGAAGTAAAAACAAAAACTTTCCTTCTAGGAATGAATGGACCAAACTCACAAATGATATTATGGCTTATAGAAAGGTATCTTGGTCTATTGCACCTTGCGGGAACTCTACTCATATTTTCCCACCATATATAAGCATTCATACAAAATTATAAGAAAAATATTTGCAATTACATGTGAACAGGAACTGCCTAATTAATAAATCTATGATCTGAGTAAAAATATCAGCCTCAATAAACACTTTCTTTGCCTTGATGTCTCTTCCCAACACACACTAGCAAGAGACAGGCCACTTCTAAAACTCTAGGGTAAAAGCAAAACAAATTCACCAAAAAGCTGTTGATTGTTCAACTTACTTTTTCCTTTCAAAATGTAGGAGATTAAATATCAGAAGGTATCCTGTACTGTACAGCCCAAAAATATGAATAGACAATATATGTGGAATGTATTTGTATTTAAAAATATATCTAAACTGTGTGCAATGTATTAAACTTCTATGACCATTTTTTCATGAAATAAATATACTAATAATCAGTTATCATAACCTAATGTTTATCTAGAAGAAGAGGACATGAGCCTTCATGGAAGACTCTGGATATCTCATTCTTATAAAGAAAATAGTGCAAATTTAAATTACTCCAAGAGAAAGGATGGTAGGGCTGGCCAAATAGCTCAGTGGATTAAAGAGCCTGCAAGCAGGTGCAGGGGCCAGGGGTTCAATCCCCAGGCTTGCCATGCTGGCCCCACCATTAGAGTGTGCTGAGAAGGCAATCAAGCCCTGGGCATGATGGTGCACACCTCTGTAATCCCAGCTCTTGGGAGGCTGTAAACAGGCGGATCACTACGAGTCCGGTCTAGTAGTGAGACCCTGAATACCCTGTAGACCCTTCCCTAAAATAAAGAGAGAGAGAGAGAGAGAGAGAGAGAGAGAGAGAGAGAGAGAGAGAGAGACTGATAATACATATACAGTGGTAAGGAGCGGACATCAAACAGTGGAGAGTGTGGTTCACGTGGAGGAATTTGGATGACGAAGTAAAAATTCAACACTGTATGTAAGACAACACAAAAGCACATCCACTAACCTAATTCATATCACCAGCCACTAGATTGAGGTTTCACTGTTAGAGAGCCCCCTGTTAAAGCTAGGTGGCTAAAGACAAGGTGGTAAAGTTATAAACAGGAAATTAAACTGAACTCATCTTATCTCTTCTTCCTGAAATAACTGAATTTTTTCCTATTTATTTTAACTTGATAAGCTTCATATTTTTTTAAAAAATGTATAATTTAAACATATCCACTATTAATAATTTAGGTAGCTAGCAAATAACTTTACATTAATAACTGAAGTGTACATTTTTTGAAATGGCCAATATTATACAACACTTATTAAACACAAGTAATAGACATTATATTTTGCCTGTGAAATGGTCATCTTCCTTTTGGAAACTGGTCTCTCTCTGTTCTATTACAAATCTGAAGGAAATATTTCATGGTTCGTTATACACTTCCCAGTATTTCATCCAAACAAACACACACAAAACCAAAAGGGTTGGGAAGAGAACTCTTTCCATGACAGACAAAGACACCAAGATAAAAATCTTCTTTTTCATCTAAAATTGAGAAAAGGCTTTACATTACATACTTAAAATAGGAGTTATTTTTCCGATTACTATAAGCAAAGCCTCACAAAGAATAGACCAAACTCAAAGCAACCAGGATCACAAATCCCCAAAACATAGGTAAATACCTGGATCTAACTGTGTACATATCTAGGGAACCCCAGGAAATTTTAGGTAAGATAATTTATAAATTCTGGTATGTAAGCAAGTTGAAACTAGCCTTCTATCACAAATAAACCAACATTCTCCTAAATACAAAAGAAAGGACTTGAATTTAGTTTGTATGCACAAATCATAAACCATGTCAGCCACGTTGCTGTGGTAGTACAAAGCATTTCTCTAGACACTTTCAGCTTCAGAAATTTTGCTTGGACTCTTCAGAACATTTCCAGGGTTACCCCATGCTGGCAACTGGAACCCCACAATACATTCTTGGACTTTCCATCAAAAAATACAACTGATTTCAACCTTAGGAATTTTTCTATCAATATACATTTTCCAACAATAACATGCATACTGATGATTGTTCTTGCATTTAAACTTTGATCAGAGTCATCAGAACCTTGGAAGAGGGAAGCAGAGGAAAGGGATGGAGAAGAGAAAAAAGCACCGTACCAGCGCCATGATATTATTCCTTAACTCTCCTGTTTGGGCCCATATTCTGCGGACACTTTGACATAGGCCATTTTTTAATGAGAACAAAAGTTAGTAGTATTAATATCCAGAGCATCAATTGTACAAATACCATACATACAAATTTATTTTATGAGCCTTAATATACAACTCAATAGTAGCAGAATACACTTTGGGAAAAAAAAAAAAAAAAAAAAAAACATTTCAACCAGTTTTCATATGCTAATATGGTACACAACTTCAAAAACGTCCCAAGATAATATATCAGTGCAAATGAATGAAGACAGTGTGGCCCAAAACAAAGAAATGCACCTACTAGTCTCAGAGGCATGATGAATGAAAAGACTATTCCAGAAAAACAGCTCGAATCATCTCCATTTCCAGCAGTTAAGTCAATACTGCCTTTCATGGCAGGTTTCAAAACTGAACCAAACAAAAGAAAGCCAGGCATACTCACAAATTATAAAGCATGTCAGCCATGTTGCTGCGGTAGTACAAAGCGTTTCGATAGGCGCTTTCAGCTTCAGAAATTTTGCTCTGACTCTTCAGAACATTTCCGAGGTTACCCCATGCTGACAAGAAGAAAAAAAAATAGTATTCAGGCTGAGCATCAATCTAATTATACATGACACAATATCAGGCCAACCGGAAGTACCTCCAGGAGAGAAAACTTTCATAACACATTTTTAAGAAGGATAATTTCCTTTTTACTCTAACATCTCAGCAAACCAGGAGATTAAATATAGTCAAAGTCTGGAAACAATTAAAGCAATTATTATATCTCAAAGCTTATATATATATACATATATATATATATATATATATATATATATATATGTATATATATATATATAAGCTTTGGGTAAAAGTCAGCATATATCTATATCTATATCTATATCTATATCTATATCTATATCTATATCTATGTCTATACATACAGTTTATCATAAGGCCAAGGACAATGTTGCCTCAAGATCACCTACAAAGACTTCAAACTCTTTCAAGTTTCCTTGGGGTCTTTATGTCCTGAAATTATTGTATGTTTACTGGACTACAAACTGTAAGAAACCATTTTAAAATAAACAAAGATTCCATTCAAGTATGAAAAAACTGATAAATGCCAGAGAAGATCTGGAGATGAAAAGCAAAAAACCAAACAAGATTAAAGCTACAGAAAGGCTTAATAAGCATCAGAAGATATCATTAAAACACCATGCTTCTCAAAACAGTTAAGGATATATGATCGGCACAGATACAATGTTCCTTTATAACCTTCCTGTTAATGAGTTCATTTGAAGGAAAATCTGTAATCACACATTCTCACACAGAAAACTATGTAATTTTATATGTGCCTTGAATTTTTCTTCACATATCCATGATTTCTCAATATTAAAAAGGCATAACCTCTGTTACTACCTGGAAGACAGCTTTCAAACAGACCAAAGCCCTCAAGTTTACCTACTTATCTCCTTCCTCCTCCTCAAAATATGGGGTGTTGAATCCTAACACTGGCACTTTTACCTAGCGAGAACGTAGATAGGAATGTTATGCATCGAGATTTACTTGGGTTGTCTCTGAATTTACCGGAAGGATAAAAGGGGTTTTGAGGTAGCAGTTTTTAGTCCATTAAAAAAATATAAAATCTTTCAGTCTCAGATTTGCCTGAGTTCCTATAATTTAAATCTTTCATACCTCATATTTAGTGCTTTACTGGCTTTACAAGAAAGATGGGTTAATACATGGAAGACATTTAAGACAGTACTTGAAACATGGTAAACATTCAATAAATATTAGCTATTTTCTTAGTATTATTGTAGTTGATACTTATAATTTACAATAATCAAGCACTGCTTATAGAGATAATATTAAGACAATGTACTTTATGTTCCTGTATACAGAGAACACTAAGATTTTGCATTTGGAAGACTATGGTTCTGGTGAATAGCGGCAGAAGTACATTGAGCTCAGAATTACCCAGCACCAACCACTGGCATGCATCATGCCACACCTGACCTACATCATCTTGCAGAGCTCTCAGCATAGCCCTGTACCTAAAGTCTGTGCCCTCTCTGTAAATGAGCAGAGTTAGAGGCACAAAAGAATGAGTCCATGTAACACTCAAGTATTAGAGCAGACTCCAATGCAAGGCTGGCTCTTTTCTACCCTCCACATGACATTCTCATTCTCTTTCATATTTCACTGGAAATCAACATTCGCGCCTGATGAGTAAGGCCTCGACACTATGAAAAACTGTATTTCTAAACTGAAACACCTTAATATATTGTCAATTTAAAACCCTCAGTCAATGAAAACAAATACAACAGTGAAATGTTATAATCAACTTCAAACTTAGTAAGCATCACACTACATGTGTATTTTATATCTAATACCCCCGACCCCAATTAATAAAACATGGTTCTATGGAAACTTCTAATACCCAAGTGAGTTCTCAGCCTACTTTATCCCAAAATTCTGCTTTGATTGTGGGATTAGTAAATGAAAGTAGATTTACACAGAAATTACTCCAGAGAAATGCATCCAAATATAAACTGAATCACCAAGACAACATCATTACAATGTTATCCCACTTAAACCACAGTCTTAGAATACAGGGGCTAAAGAAAAGAAAATTACACAGAGGATTTCTTTTGATTGAATATCTTACAGCTTATTTCCAGAGAAACAAATTGACTGGTTTTGTTAGGAGTTTTTATCTTAATATTAGATAATAAAATCAAATATTAAATAATATTAAAATAACAAAAGCTTCTCGTTAGTAGTTAACATATATAACTGCATAGAATATACATCTGCATTCATTTCGCTGTGTTCATTTATTTCATTAATAGATGTAATCACCCGTTATCCAGACATGTATTAATTATCATTTTTGCCCGCAACTTTACTAGTCAGTGCTGAAACCTGTCAAGTTCCTGCCCACATGGAGCCTATGCTGAAAGGAGGAGGGTATAGGATCCATTCAATAAAATGCATGCCTGAGCTTTACATAGTTACAGATACCACAGTTAATAAAAGCCAAGGTAAGATGTGGGTGAGGCCAATCTAGATGAATATTTCACAGAACTAGGAAACAGGTGAGCACTAGGAACTGAAGGAGCCAACAGCCATTAGTTGATGATTCCAGGTAAGGGAAATAGAGCACAAAGACATCAACTGGATGAGCTGGGGATATAGCCCAGTGGTATAAGTGCTGCCTGGCAAGCACAAGGTCCTGAGTTCAATTCCCAGTTTAAAAAAAAAAAAAAAATCAACTGGTAAGTTTTCAGGAATAAAACATCAGGTGTGTGGCTAAAAAGTGAAAAGGAAAGACAAGACGGTAAGCCAGAGATAATCAGGGAGACAAAAGACTGATCAAAGGGCACTCTGAGGCAACACAAGGGAAAGGTTTTCAGTGAGGGAGTTTTGTGACATGACTCCTGTTTCCAAAAACTCACTTTGCCTCCTCGGCAGTCGGAGTAACTCACTGAATGAGAAGCAAAAGAGCAAAAGGAAGACTACTCAAAAGTCATGTGCAGTAAGTAAGGGGCAAAATTATGATGATTTCCAAAAGGGATGTGCAGCACAGGAGAGGACTGAAGGAGAAAACAATTTAGAAAATAGAAACCATCACCGTCATAATGGCAAAGCTGCAATATGACAGTTTCCTACTTTCGTCCCAAACGGAAATTTCTTACATATTTATGATTAAATCATTTCCCATAGTACCTGGGGAAAGAAAATCTCCCAATTAAGCCCATGTTTTAAAATAATTTCAATTAGTTCTGGATGAGAAAAATCAAAAAGGAAAAACAAGAATAGCCCTTGGTACCCAAAACTGATCTGACACTTGTCACCTAGCCATTACAAACCCTGTTTTAGCATGGGACACAGTTACTTTAGGGCAATGAAAAAATGCAACAAAGCAAACCCACTTCACAGTTTTGTTTAAATCCAAAGGAAAGTTGACTATATAACCACAAAATACTAAACTCACTTTTTTATTATGTTGTGGTTCATATAGTGACCTTTCCTTTGGCTGGATTCAAATTTATGATCCTCCTGTCTCAGCCTCCCAGAATGCTCGGATTATGAACATGTGCCACTATGCCCAGTTTATATTCTGTAAATTCTTATACATAACTGGCCTTACCACTGAAATATCTAAAGTGATTATTTTTTTAGTATAGAACTATTCCAAGGCTTATGGATGGTACAACTTAACACTGCCCAAATGTCACTTCTGTGTTGATTAATCCACACATTCTATGGAATTCCAATTAATATTTTAACATCCTTAAGGAACTCAAAATATACCCTAACCATAATATATAAGAAAGAAATGCTGGATTTTTAATCATGATGTCCATCAGACACAAAGGTAAACTCCAGTCAGTTATAAAAGTTAAATTTGAAAAGGTAAAGCTGACAGAAGGACATGGAAGAGAATATTTCTTGACAATTGAAGAGAACTCCTTAGAAAAGCTCCATATATAATCCAAAAGGAAAAATCTAATGGATTTCAGGCTCTCAGATTTGCCCTAATTTGAAAAATGAAGGGCTTCTATTTATTGAAGGACTCATTATGGGTAATATCCACAAGGGATGATACATCAGAAACACTTCAAATATTTAAAAAGATACGTCAGTAAGTCACTTAAAAAAAAATCAAGAAACAGGTAAGGAATCTTGTAAAATAAGTAAAGGTCAAAAACAGAAAAACCACAAAAAAGCCAAAATAAAGATCAAGTAGTATAATCAATAAAGAGGAACAGAAATTTATAAATTTCTCAGTAACTCAGAAAAATACAAATTACAATAATAATATAACTTTTGAATCCAAATGAAAAAAGGAAAGAAAGAAAAGTGCAGGTGAAGCCAAGAACGGGAGGACCTGCCGGGAAGACCCTGGTGTGGTAGCAGGGCCTGGGACCCACAATCTGGTACGCCCCCTGACTGTTCTCAGTCAGACCAACAAACAGAACTGGCTAAGTCAGAAGCAAACGCTGACCAGCAATCTTAAGAGAACACGGAGGATGGTATTTAAAGAAAGTATCTTAGAGCTCATCCACAGTGAGATGTAACTGGTGTGTGATCGTCATGTGAGTGCCATATGGGATATATTTTCTGAATTACTATGCAGCAGTGAGGACCAACAGTTACCATAGAAACGCTGTGACATGAATGGACTATAAAAGCCTACAAAAAAACAAAAACCTGAGTGTATCATGGTAGAGCACCATTTTTAAATAATAATAATGGACTCTAACCTAAAATATCACAGCATGGTTCACCTGGGGATACCATAAAAATAAGGATACAAATCAAATACATTACAGCAGCTGCCTATAATGCAAAGGGAACATTGAGTTAGACACTGAAAATCAAAGAGAATTACGACATGAATAACAGAAGAACATAATGAACATAACTCCCTAAGTCGGGAGGAGAAACGTGGGAAAGGTAAAGAAGGGGAAGGAAAGAAAACGAAGGTCACACTCTCTGTACTTTGAAAATAGAGATGGGATTACGCTATATCCTCCGTAAGGAATGCACTCTTAACATCAAACTTTTT